CAAAACACTGAGACAGGCTGGGTATGGTAGGGGATATACAGGGCTTTTTTACAGCATTGATTTGCCTGTGTCCAAGCACCAATTGGTCCTAGAATTAACTTCCTTTGTCCTGTGATGTACAATCAAGAAAAAGAGCTGGTTTCCATTTTTTAGAAATACTGCAGGCTTCTGTTTCAGACCCTTCATGTAGCACACTGATACCCCCTCTTTCTTAAAAGCCACACATTCAAATTTCATATACAACTGTACTATGAGAACGGTTACATCTAAAAAGGATAACAGATTTGTGCATGCCATACATACAGCAATAAAGAGTGATTATAGATTTGAAAGTTTCAGAAGATCTTTCATTCGAAACTGATCATTTAGCAGAACATAAAGGTTTATTTGGTCACATTCAATTGGATTGTTCACACCAGCAATTGCTCCTTTCCAAGAGAAACATTTATTTACTTATTGACTAAGTCACCTATTCAGTGTCTTTAACTTTTATAGAAATGAATGCTATAGTTTAAAAATAGAATCTATGAAAGTCTTTGTATGAGATGTAAATCAACATTCTTTAATAACTACAAAAAGGATATTGTTAGGAGGAGATGATTACATAAGCATAACTTAATGTTGGCATACTTACTTTGTTAAAATGTACACTGCAAAATGGTAGACTGATAACCAAAAGGTAGGACAGGCTGCAAAATCAACTAAAAGAGCAGCTTTCCACCATGGACATGATCAGCAGTTCCTCCTTATGATCACACTGATCTCTTCCAGATGTTCCAGTTTCCTCCACAACCCACAAACATGCAAATATAACTAGTGGCTTACATCTAAAATGGACACCAGTGCATGTGTGTGTGTCTATATGATTGTTGTAGAGACATCAGCTTTGAAAGCTGAACTTCAAGCAGATATAAAATATACAAATAAAGGGCTTGTGTTGATGGCACCAGAGAATGTTCAGAAGTTACAGGTAACTTTGATCTGCAGCTGACCTCCTGTTGACCTGCTTCATGTGGGTTTTTGCATAGAGATTCTCTAGACTTGTGGATGAACTAATGCAGCCATCACATTTAAGAATATATAACATTTTTGCTTTTGTTTTTAGGTACATTTAAAAAGGAGAATTATGAGGCGAGCGATTTTCACTCAGCCTCATAATCTGAGCCGACCTGTGACAATGAAACTGTCACAGGTCGGCTCAGTAGATCGAGAAGTGAGCGAACACATACCGTCGCTCGCTCACTTCTAGATCTATCCCTGCAGAGAGCCGTGGCTGTCACTCACGGCTCCCTGCAGGGATTCTCCCCCTCCCCTGTCCGATCCTCCCGCACTGACTGGCGAAATAGATGGGGGAGGGGGCGGGCACAGCTGGGTATGCAGAGCCAGCTGTCAATCCCACAGCTGGGTGGATCCAGACAGTATTGTCGGGATCCCTCCCGACTGCGGCGTCTCAGTATACCAGGAGCTGTAGCTGGTAGGAAGACTTCCCGGGCAGCATCACCACATGGAAGCCCCTCTCAGCGTTCTGTGACGTGCTCCCCAGCTTGACTGAGGAAACACAAAAGACTGAGGGAGTGGAGGAGAGGAGGGTCTTTTAAACAGATTAAGTGACATGTTTCCTGTGTGTGGGGGAGGAGATTCCATCTCGTGATGCTGTCCTGGAAGACGTTATGGGAAAGAGTGGCATAAATGTAAATCTGCCTAGAACAGATCAGCTACCAAAAGTGACCATCCAAGAAGTAACTGCACTACGGTAAAACTCGCATGGCATCTTACTTAGGAGTTCATTTATAAAAGCTATAGCTGGGTGGATGCCGTTCACACGGCACAAGGACCTTTAGATGGCACTGACGATATTGCTTTGTGCACATCTACATGCCAGATAGAGCTTTTATATATATGAACATATATGAACAGTTCAGAGCCGTAGCTAGCTCCTTTTGCGCCCAAGGCAAGAACAGAAAATTGACCTGCAGTGTACAAATGTGCAAAGCTGAAAGAAACCTATCTATGTAGACTCAAGGTTGTTATTTACTAATCCTCTAAATAATAACTGAAAGGGAGTGTACACTGGTGCAGTCAGTTGTGTTTTTTTAACTTTAATTTAAATCACTTTGCAGAGATCGGTTTTCACTTTGACAAACTCACATATTTATGTTGATCAGTGTAAAAAAATTAAATTTAAAAAAAAAAAAGGTAATTTTCACTCATCTTAATAAATTGGTAAAACAAAATTCACATTGCAAAGACAACTGAAATAGAACAGGATTTTTGCTTGCACGTGATTGAATAATAGACATCAGCACTACTTCACCTTATTCACAAAGCTTGGTAAATTTTCTCTTTGCATAGTGAACTTTCTTTTTGAAAAGATAATTTTCTCTAAACTTAGGAAAGGAAGTGAAGTTGTGCTGACTTCAATCGTCCAATCACGTGCAAGCAAAAAAATCCTGTTTTATGAAATTTTCCTTGCATATGATTGAGTACTTTTTGCTTGGGAAATTTTCGCCTTGTCCTCAACTCCTTCAGTAAGATAATTGAAAATTCAATTAGAGAACAGACATGCTTTACTCTTTTTATTAAGTTGGGGGTCAGAATGATTCAATGCACTATGATAATAAAACATAAAAACTTAAAAAGTAGGTAAAACATTTTTTTTAGTCCCTGCAAGTGATACCCTTTATTGGCTAGCATGCTTTTAAAGATGCCATCTTTTGAAAAATGATATCCTTACCTGTTATTATGTTAAGGTAGAACATACAGCCAGATGGAGCCCTTCCAATGGCTGCAAACCTCCTTATGACATAATATGAATTATATATGAAAATGTAAAATAGTTAATGCATTGTGTATATAAAACACATGAACATTTCTTTTTTCCAAATGACACAAAACACAATGCTAGAAACATTAAATATAGCCTTTATTTTACCCTTTTATTATGCCTTTCATTTGGCCCAGGCTCAATGAAGCAATTTTGCATTTCACATTTCATCCCAATTATACCATATAAATAAGAAGACACCAGATGCCAGTGTTCAACATTAACACACAGTACATTTGTAGCAAAACATAGAGGCTAATGTCAAACCGGTAAACAACTATATTGTGCAGCTATTTTAAGAAAATATCTTCAACCTTGGTCCTGTTTATGTTTCTTCATTTACTTCAGGCTAATTGATTGGTTGGAGAGAAATGTATGTGTGTTCCCCCGTTAAAGGGATCAATCCGATAGTAAAAACCACTTCCTCTAGTCCTGCAGTAACTGGATGTCCACATTATAACCTATGTTAAGCTAGCCATACATGGATGGAGAAAACTCCACTGCCAGCCATTGTATTCAAGCAGCTAGGGCACTTGTGGCTGCCTAAACACCTGAACAGTGACTGCATGCGATAGCATGCAATTGCTATTTGGCCGATAACTTTCCACCTAGCTCAGCTCATTTTTAAATTGATTTTTTGAGCTGGGTGGTGCTCGCAGGGCCACCCAAGGCTTAAACATCTTCCAATTCAGACAAATCATACCAAATTCAAGCTGTGTACGGCCAGTTCAAGATGACCACACCCCTCTGCTGCACAAAAGAAAAGAAGCCGCATACACCATAGACCAACCATAATAAAATATTTAATTCACTAGGCATGTCCAGCACACGAAGACTCCACGCCTGGAGGCTGCCCACTCTAACATGTTTCACCCCTATGGGGCTTAACCCCTACGATTAAACCCCATGGGGTGAAACATGGTATGCGGCTTCTTGTGTGTGGCTGCTTTGGAGCATAGACGGCTCCTACCCTGCACCCGTGCTTGCCAGAGAGTTGGAGGCCAGGCATTGGATGGAGCAGTGACCTTTTTTTGCACTTTCAAATATAAATTCTGCTGAATTGATTCAGCAAGTACCTGAATTTAGGCAGAGAACCTGTGTTAAGTGGCCCATAAACTAATAGATTTTTATTTTTTATTCAACCTGCAAGTCAACAGATTGCTCCATCCATGCTAAACAGTGTAGAAGGATAATCCCCCACTGTGGTTATTGTATTCTAACAGCTAGCACCCACCGCTGTCAGAATCCATGAACAGTAACTGCAGCCATTTGGCTACAGTCACCGTTCGGTCCTTAGCTTGGCTCCTTCGGCAAAAGTAGGGCCACACACTAAGAATTTTGGCAGATTCCTGTGCATTGGCTGAAATTCTAACAGTGTATGTATGGCAAGCCATATTTATGTGCGTTAGTAATGTTTCCAGCAGGATCATAAATATTTTTTTTTAAATGTACAACTTTTCATCCCTTTCCCACAACCCACGTACCTACTTTTTTTTGTGTTCTCATTTAACAAGTTTCAAAAGCTGCTGGTTGTCTTAGTGTCATGATAGCTAACTAATAGCAGCAGTGAACAGAGCTTTAGTGTCTTCTGAGAAGGTACCATCCTGTTATTCCCTTTGGTCTCCATACACTGCAATGGGGCAAAAGGTTTTCCAAGTAGCAAAACTTCAATCCTTATCTCTATTTAACTAAAGTGCACTTTCTGCAACTTCATCATGTGCAGCCAATTCAAATATAATAGAGGATAACTTTGCAAAATGCTATGCTGCTTCATTAGTAATCTGAGACTAGTACACAGATTTGTTTTTTGCATCAAATGAAAAATCAACTTGTGTGTTGCCTGAATAACAGTCAGTAATATAGAATGCCGGCAGTAAAACTGGCATAGGTTGGTGCAACCAATAAGACTTCTAAATTTAATAAAATTGTTATTTTTGTGTGCAAGGGTATCTAGAATTTGATGGGCACAGCAATGTAAACATATAAAGCCAGCCTTAGCAATTTCATAAAATATAGGCTGACAGTGTCCTTCCTACTAGTAAAAGTTTAAAAAAAAAACATTTCAACAATATAAAGCGCAAACAAATATATAAACTCCCTTCATATAAAAAAAAATTAAACAACACAGTAGAATCAGCAGAATTATACTGTATACATTATTGCAGAGAACCCGATCCTTGGTCAGCTCCAACAAAAATAAAACATTGTGCCTCAATGATGTCTAGAACTACAGTAAGTCTTAGAAATGACAATGAGATATTCATTTCAAGTTACATAATAATCTGAAATCTCCCCCATTAGCTTCTCCATGTTCCCTTATCCATTTACCTGATCCTTGACCTAGCAGGCCTGGCATGGTAGTGCAATAAAAAAAAAAATACTTCAAAAGACCGTGTTTAACAGAAATGAATTAAAATAAGATTTATATTAAAAAGGCACATAGAGGAAAAACTATTTTCAAGGTTATCTCCAGGAAGTCACTTTACTGGTAATGTAAGCTGAACCATGGGCAAACCTGAAATGGTGATTTTCAGTAACAACCAAAAGCATAAGTGTGTTTGTTGAATACATGGTTCTCTTAATCTACTACAGACTTATGCCACACACTGCTGTACCAGTGGGCAGAATCGGTTAGCCAATATCCTTGAGTTTTCTCAAGTGCTTAGCCGTTTGTCTGGTCTTGGTACACATTTGGTGATCGCTATTCTCCACAGGGCTGGTGCTAGCAGAAGACTCAATGTTGTCACACTCAAGATAAGGAGGTAGACCTAAAATTAAAATATATACTTTTTAAACAAGTGTCATACAAAAAACATACTTACATACATATTATTAGAAGTCTTATCTCAATGGCACAACATTTGATTTGCTGGAAATCCATGATGCAGTTGGTGGGTAACTACATACATTAGGATCCCAAATCAATATAGTCAACATTAAAGGAGAACTATGGGGTAAAAGTTCTGAGCCGACCTGTGACAGTCTCATTGTCACAGGTCGGCTAGAACTATGAGGTGAGTGAAAAGCACTCGCCTCATAGTTCTCTTTTAAAGAGAGCAAGTAACAATCTTCTTAAACAGAAGACATGTTCCTCTTTATGACCACCATTTTGCCTGCTACTACATTCTGTGTGGCCATTTAATGTATATGTAATCCCAGTCAGAAAAATCTCAGATAGTTAGATCTTTTATGACATTTATTTAAAATATTTTTGAAATTTGCCACTTTCTTTAAAATAATAACTGGGATCAGTGCCATGAAGGTCTTTGTTCAGCAACCCCCTTTTATATGGGAGTGACAATGCTCTACCTCTGTCACATGCATTTCTAGTTGAGAATATAATAAGCAGGCATGATGCCAATGGTATCGTTTATGATAAACAGTGCTTTAGCAAACTAGATGTCATGCAGATAGGGTTTACATCTACTTCAATGCAGGACACCCACCAAATGGTGGTCAGATATTTGGCTTACTAGTTACGCCAGGAATGAGTGGCTAGGGTCCTTCCACCGCTGTTATCCCTACATATGAGGACTGTCAGATGATCCAGCTGAAAATATCTAACGTAAGTACCAAATGTTTCATGTCTTAATCCTACTCTTATTTAGACACTCAAAGACACACTTTATTAGTTCTCACCTACTCTATTCAATACAGATTTGAAACCTAGTTCATTATGCACAAACATAAATGCAACACTTTTACATTTATCAATGTAAAAAAAAAGAAAATGTCAGTTACAGCTGTGTTTTAGAACATGTATAGGGAAAAGTGTACATCAGGTCTGGAGAAGGTGCTTACATGAAACCTCTTTTGAGTAAAACAACACTTAAGACAGGTGTTGTTTCTGGGTGAGAAAAACTGCTGCTATAGGTGGCCCAAGGTGCTATGTAATCACACCTACATCCATGGAATCTAACAAGCTACCAGTTTACTCCCAGTGAGTTTTCACAAGCAGCAGGGGGTCAGCTGCAACCAAATGATTTCACACCATCAAATGACTGAGGACAGAAAACCTAGACAGGATATACTGATTCCATTTACATCATCCTACTGTGAGGTGATGCAGTAGCTACATATGTAGAATATATATGAGATATTTAACGCCCACCCTTAAGATGGAAAAAAAACAAAAATACATTTAGTAAAAAACGGTCAGCACATCCAGAGATGTAGGAAGCTGAAGTTATACACAATTCTCCATCTCTACACTTGAATTGTTATACTAGTGCAGCTTTAAAAGGAGAACTATGGGGTTAAGACGCTGCAGCGGAAGCGGATCCCCACAATTATGTCTGGATCCACCCAGCTGCGTGACTGACAGCTGGCTCTGCCTATCTAGAGGCAGAGCCAGGTGTACCCGCCCCTCCCCCGTCCGTTCCGCCAGTCAGCGCTGGCGGATCGGAGAGGGGGGAATCCAGCCCCTCCCCTGTCACGGCAGAGAGCCGTGACAGGATCGAGAGGTGAGCGAACGCCGTATGTGTTCGCTCACCTCCCGATCTACTGAGCCGACCTGTGACAGTCTCATTGTCACAGGTCGGCTAGAACTATGAGGTGAGTGAAAAGCACTCACCTCATAGTTCTCCTTTAACTTTTAGTGATTGTTTTTATTATGATTAACTTTTATTCCTCCCTTTCAGATTAGAAAGGGCCAGGCTAAAATATAAGGCAGCTCTATTTTCTTGGCCAAGCTCAGTACTAGTAACAGACACTCAAAATATGTCATATAGCAAAAGTACCGTACTGCTAGAATTACATGAAATAAAACTAAAGGCTTTGTCTCAGCAGCCCATACATCATTTAACCCTGAGAATTAACACTGCAATATTCTAATAACGTAAGAGTGGAAATTTAGATTCTTATGATTGCTCATTCCTGATCAATTCTCTTTAAAGACCCAACCAACTCAGGAGGTGGGAGGAGTGCAGCCAAACCTAACTTATATGGAATAAAAGTCAAAGTATTGTGGCAATGTAAGCCAATACCACGGTGTTAGGTGGCCTCAAAGTCACCCAGGGTTCTCAGCCAGAGGGGCTGAGTGGCTCCAGGAAGACAGTACGTGTACCAGGAGAGAACTGCCTTTTCAGTAATTTCCAGGTTGTCTGGATCATAGTTGGGATCCTGGAGCCAGGAGATTTCTTAGAGCTCTGGGTGGGATGAAATCTCCATTCCTGGGTCCATGCTTTGGTAGTGACCAGCACCTGATTGTGCACCTGTGTACATCCTTCATGAAGAGTGTGCTGGGATGTGTTCAGGACCCCACCTGTGAGTCAGGAGAGCTCCACCCTGGGGAGTGTTGGAGTTGTGTGCGTGCAGGGAGCACACGGACACAGACCACCTCGGGTGCATGCTAGACGCACACGGAACAGCCAGGGGTGGCTGGGAGAGGTCAGGAAGGTCGGTGACCCGAGGACCTGCGGTACAGTCTGCTAAGAGAGCAGAGTGAGGGCTCACGAGGGGTGAGCAGCGTGAGTGTCTTGTAGCTGAGGAAAGCTACAGAGCCATAACAAGGACTGTCTTATGTTGCTGTTTCAAGCTATTTTGTGTTTGCCCTTTCAATAAACTGTGTTTCCTTGACTTACCTGGACTACAGTGGAGTATCCTTGTTACAGTATGCATATAACTTCAGGGGATTAGATCGCTGCATATGCGGATTGTTTTGACATAGTTTTCACTGAAGTTACTCTCTTAAAGCCAAACTGTAGTCAAAAATTATTTTCTCCCATCACTTAATCCCACCCAAACCTTGTCCAACTAGCCTTTTAATTCCCCCCTTACCTTGTGAAGTCAGATAAACTCACCTACGTCCCCCCCCTCTGGCAAATCCATTAGTGCAATGATACCCAAGACCCTTGGTCACCCTTCCCCCTCCGTTGACATGGGTCCTTTTTTGGATCCTCAGAGGACCCTAGCCAATGCACACCCAATAGGAAATGTCCATGTCATGCAGGCGCTGACATGGACACTAAAAGAAGGACCCAAGCGGGAAGTAAACAGAAGATGAGAAGACAGTGAATGGTGGGGCATGGCAGGGGTTGATGAGTGCTGAAGTTTATCATACAGTTGGGCTTTAAGCATTTTTACCATGCTCAGGCTCATCTGCCCAGCTTTCTGAGGGATTTAATTGATTTCCCGCTCGCGCGCGCCCGAGCGGGCGGATGTAACAGGACGTGTATACACGCCCAGTTACATCCAAGAAGCTCCCGGCAGGCCGTGTATACACAGCGGCTGGCCGGGAGGTAGTTAAAGAAAAGTTTAAATAGCAGCGTCACCGATTTAGGAAGCAAGCAATACAAAGCACTGTGCAAATCATAAACAGTACGCAAATGCATGTACCTAGATGATGTGGCTCAGGTGTTCAGTAACACATCCTAAATATAAATATACTAACTAAACTTCAGTACTCACCTCACGAGAAATTATTCCAGACCTGCGGGCTCTGCTGCCCAAAACAAAAGAAAATTCACTGACTTGGGCCAGCCCAGAAGAAACAATCCATTTGATATACTGGCTGCTTTTTGGCAGAATCAAAGATAAAACTAGGACAGCTAAAACAAACTGTTGAGACACAAAAATAAGTAACGCATTACATACATTATATTTTATTAGCAAAGTGCATGCAAAAAAAAGAGAGACTATAATAGAACTTAGAAGAAATAACCACAATACATGTGTATTGAGGGAAGTAAAATGATTTATGTAATCAGGTATCACTTTGCATCAATCTGAACAAGGAAAAGATAATTTACAGTTGGCTGCCAAGGGTTACTGCATATTGCTCCTTGTTTTCTTCACTGCACTCATATATACACAATAATGTGATAGAGGAAATCCTAGCACCACAGGCAAATTCTGCATTTTTTTCAACCATATGCACTAAATACTGCACATTCCTACTAAACAAAGGAAGAATCTTTTGTTGGAATAAGCTTCTCCTGTCCAGCTATAACCAAGCCACCTTTAGAGGGACGACTATTTATTTTGCATTATTCTTTAGTTATACAATCTTTTTGAGAATCTGTGATTACATCAGTACTTTATGACTGGATCTGAGAGCAGTTGAAAAGACTTTCCATTAGAGACCAATATCTTACCACAAGAAAACACAAAAAAGGAACAAAACGTTTAGTGCACACAGAAAGTCACATGAGCTATGATCAACAGTCACCATAGTTAACAACCTCAGTAGACAGACAACCTCCCTTTTGCAAACTTTGTTTTATAGTCATGTAAAACGAAATCTGCTTATTAACAGATGGTACATTTGACAGTTTTTTCATCCCAAAGTGTATCACAACCATATGATTCTATGCAGCAAAATTAAAATAAAACAAACTCTGCAGTACTTAGAGGGACGCACTGCTATCTGCTCCTTTTTTTGCGAACTGTCAGCCTAGAAGCATGTCCTACAGTTAGGTCCCTTTCACATGGTGTTTTGCTCAGGTCCACCTGTCAGTTTTTGAGGCAGACCTGATTGGAAGTCTATGAAGAGTTGGATGTAAACGGACCTGTGTCTGTTTACATCCAATTACCTCCGAGTCCATCTAGATCAGCAAGAAAAGAAAAAAAAAAACGGACCTGAACAGAATGAATTGGAGGTAATCAGATGTAAACAGGCACATGTCTGCATACATCCAACACCCCATAGACCTAACATGGATCCAGTCAGTTAAGTTGATGGAACCGACGCTGCCCGTGTGAAAGCGGCCCAAGTGTCCCGCTATACAAGTAATCTTGTTTTAGCTCTTTATGCGTATTTATCCATATATATAATAGATATCACCTTTCTAGTGCAGTCTCCTAATGTGCACTGTTAAATGATATCCCGCATCTGAAAGTTAAAATTGTCCTAGGTTGTATTAAAATATAAAAAGCAGCATATCCAATACAATAGCAACACAAGCATTATATTTCCACTGGAAAACATAGATGATGTATTTTATGTACATCATATAAATATGCTTGTCCCTGAATAATACTTTTGAAGTGATAATTTATGGCTTCGAGAAAAAAAATGATCTCACCTTCATTAGCACTAATGTCAGTGTTAGGGACAACAGAATAGTCAACTCATAAATTACAAATGATGGGAATACATGAAGCCCTGTAAGAATAAATACAGACATATATAATATTTTACTAATTGATAGACAGAATGGTAATAAAATAGCAGTTTTAACATCAGAAATGTAATTTTTCTTTGATGTATTCATTTTAAAAAGGCACATCTGCAGCCAATTAAAAAGACCTAGACTTCGACTTTCTACCCATATCTCATACCTCTCTACACTAAATGATGGTATGGGAATCCCTAATTTCTCTAAATATTACCTTGCAGCACAAATAAGTCAACTAAAACAAACCATTCTGCGTTCAAAACCCCTTTGTTAATGAGTACTGAAGCAATGGAGATTGACCCTCTTAGGACAAACATACTCTGGCTTCTCCCAAAAGACAGACAAATTATGGAAGCCCATCAAGGCCCATTCACCAAGAACCTGGGATGCCATTAAATATTTCAGAAACCTGATACTCCCCCATTTCCCACTTCTATCTTACTTGTACAATCGATCCCTTCCTTTCAGCTTCGATTTGAGTTCAGATGCTGAGATGACCCACATACTCTGGGCCATTATTTCACTAATTTATTCCCTACTCTTACAATCCCTTTCTAAGATCCTTCCAACTTAGGTTACAAAATACCACTACCAATTCTTTCTATTGGAACCTGGGACCTTTATGCACATTTGGTGGCACCGACCCACATACTGTACATGCACTTTGGTCCATACGTCATCTTTGAACCTCTGTGAAACACTTCTCAACAAAAAGACGCCATCTCTACGAACTAGAATAAAATCTTAACAGTCATCTTCACTTTAACCAAGAAAGTCATTGCTAAGGCTTGGAAATCCCCAAGCCTAAATTTTCACAAACTTAAGGAGACCCTGACCTATGAGAAAATAATTGCAAAGCTATTGGATAGAATGACCAGCTTTAACAAATATGAGTTATGCATTCCTTCCACCTACTTTTGATAGATACTTACTACAGCTAGGATTTGAAACTAATGCTTCTAAACACACACCCCCATGAGCTACACACACGTGAACCATCTCCTCCCTAATGCCTACTCCTTACCTCTTTTCCCCCCTCTACTTGATCTAGCTTCCTTTGGTTTTTTGTTCCTTCACATGACTGTGTCAAATACAACAAGGTTTATATTATGACATATTGCTTTGTGATCGATAACCATTATGCAACCCATACATAATACATCTATATGCAACGATGAATGTCATCTCATTTGATGTACACTGTATTTGCTTGTTTCTATACTCTACAACGCTTATCACCACGTCATGTAATACCTGACCTTGAAATGTTTTTTTTTTTGTTTAATTGGAACACCCAGTAAAACATAAATAAAACAACTAACATTTGATCAAATTGAAGGAAAAAAAACACAAAAACCACATATATCACAATAACATATTTAGAATGCAAAACTAATGTGTAACGTGAATATTTAAAAGTAAACTATGTCCAAACCTTTTGTGCCCACATTTACTAATGTCCTCCTGTGGCCCAAAACTCAGCATATAGCAGGCTATCGCACACTTAATGCTGACAGCACAGAGCCGCGCTGCAGCCAGGAAGGATCCTGACAATTTTGTCGGGATCCACCCCGCTGCCTGGTTGACTGCTGGCTCTGCCGCTCTAGAGCCAGAGCCAGCGGTTCCTCAGTGTGCTTTTTCTTCTTCAACATCCAATCAAGCTGGCGGAAGAGAGAAGACCTATTTATATTACTTGACTGCAGTAAAGTCAGGTCACCAGGCTGACTGTGCTGTGTGGCAGGTAAAACAACTCTCATATACATTTCATCTCCATATTTAGTTGCTTGCCTGGAGTTCAGCTTTAATACTTGCACTCGGTCATAAGGCATAACTGTATCAAGTAATGGCTTAGCATGGCAGCATTTACCTATAGATGCAAAGAAAATGATAGCCAAGAAGTCTCGAATAGGTTCAATGCATGACATGACTTCGTCTGTGACCATGTGCCCTTGGGAAGAGATGAGAGCTCCAGCAAGGAAGCACCCCAGTTCCATTGATACATCTAGTAGTTCGGTAACCTTCCGTGAAAAAAAAATACTGGATTTAGGTCATAACACTATATAAATATTGTTATGAAATAGTACAGTTTATAACATTGCAAAAGTAATGTGTTCATTTTTTTTAAGAAGAAAACTACATGATATGGCTATAAATAAATAAGTAAATGAGGGCTTAGTTGCATGTAATTGCAATCATCTGTATACAATGTACACAGTGTATAAATATAACCGCTGCTTTTATAGAACATTAAAAACAAATTAGATAAGTGCTCTTAACAGACATGAGGGCTGTCTGCTAAGGAAGTTTCTTTTACTTTGCATTTCTTGAATTAGTCCCTTATTATTATCCTTTTCCTCTCAACTATGTACCACCAAAGGGCAGTACAAATTGTTTTTAACAGCTACCATTTTTTTTTAAATTTGGCACATGTACATGAATGACATCAACATTCCTTTTAAGAAGTCTGGACCCTGTATGTGTATGCATAATGGGAAGAAATAGAGTACGGCTACAAGTAAAACTGCTCTTAATGTATTTATTTCTACAGTGTGCAGTCCCTTTCTGATCCACAAGAGCACCATTGTTACGATTACGGATAAGAACAGGACTGCAGGATACACAGATGACTTGTTAGATTTGTAAATGTATGCAACCAGGACTCCTACTTTTACTTTAAATTATAAAGGATTTGATAGGTACTTTTTATTAACTAGCAGTCCTGAGTGCCTGATAATTTGTATATGATTATGTACTTAAAGAATTACCCCTCCCGCTTTGAATCACACACACTAGGTTGCAGCACCGCCCATTATTTCCGTCTAAAAATATGATTCACCTCCTGAGCTACCTGCATTTTCCCTCCTCTTCAGACTCTTCCTTATAAAATATTTAGTAGATTCTTCAGCCTGGCATACATTGTAGGCACTGTGGCCGAGATGCAGGAAATATACAGTGTGCAGAAACCGGCACACCACAATGAGTCTATTTTAGATCTACATCTTCGTTTTTTCTTTATGCCAGCTCTCAACATCAGCCGTTTTAGATGCGTTTTACGGTTACTTGTATTTTCATACATAACCTCTAATAAAATGTATATGCAGCGCCATAAAAAAAAGTTTATGAAATTTACATCATATGGATCTGGGGGAAGCTGTAGACCGTTTCCAGTTATAAGGAAGGATATAATTATACCTTAATATACTAAAATATTCATAGCCAAATTATGGCCAAATGAAACATTTATGCTTGGGTTTACGAGCATGTAATCTATGTGAAGAGCATTATTCCATATTCCATCAAGGCTCTGAATGTATAGAGTTGCTGTAGGATATAGAAATGCAACTGTGCACAGTAATATATTCATCAGCAGCTGTGAGAAGTGTAAAGCCCTGGTTTCTTCCCTCTAGTACATGTATGGATGTCACAGTGTGGGAAGCTGTAAAAAGGAATTTTCAACATACATAACTTGCAAAATATGCAGACATATTCATTCCTGTTCCACAAAGACCACACTATGCTAGCCAACAAGGAAAATTTAAATAAGCACAATACATGTTCATATATATTCTGAACTGACAACTTCAACTAAGGATGAGAGAAATATAATTGCATAGCATTTTCTAAATACACTGCCTTGATGACAAATTAAAAATAAGACAATATAACAATGAAAACATTACCGTAAGCATAAGAAAAATAAATGCTGAAATTCCCATGACCAAAATTTCTTTATTTCCTTTACTCTCTGTATGCAGCTTTCGATAATAAGGCCCAATGAGATAGGTCTTTATAATAACACAGACAAGAAAGGCCGCGAGCAAGGAAAAAAGGATTTGTCCAATCAGTGCCAGTATTCGGAAAACCTCCAGGACTGCACTAGAGACACATTAACAAATAGAAAAAATAAATAGCCTGCATATATCCTAAGAAGTATAAAGCAAACAGTCATGGATAAATGTATTCATATTAATATTAATGTGACTGAACAAAAAAAAAACAAACAAGGAGGCATATTTGATGCATTCCCGGGCCGAGAAATGGCATCCTTCTGAGAATGGCTTCTATTTGCTTCTCCTTTCAATGTGGGAAAACAAACAATTAGTATTACTAGCTGTGACATGAATAGTATTTTTCCCAATAACAAGCATTACTTAGGAGGAGTTTCCCAAGCGGGTAAACTTTGACAAAAAGTTGTTTTGATATGTTGTGCTACTACATACACATCTATGATTATGCTGAAAGTACTGGTGACCAATTGCAGTCACTGTACCAATTTATAGGCCCTGTACCTGTAATTAACCTTGTAAACCATAAAGGTCTTTCCTCTGCTGCATAACCACATTTAATGTACACAGTATAGGACAAGCGCTTTTAGCATCAGATTCCTGTTAAATTCCTAAATGAACTCTGTATTCAGGAACATGTAGGATGCGATTTCTGACCTTATTCTGAAAATCTTAGTTGCTTATCTCTGACCTTGAGTCACCACATTGAAAGAAGTATGCAATCAGAATGTAGCCGTTATTCTTAATATGTACACATAGTTTATACATTGGTTTTATCTAACCCCACTTAATATCTATGGAGGTTTTCATTGCAATCCACATCCTGAGGATGCCATTTGCCTGGCTAACATTCTGATCCATCATGCAGATCAAGTAAGTCAAAATAAATGCAGAACTTCTGATATGCGTACTTGTTCACATTCAGTGTCTCAGAGTTTTGAGCTGATCCCCTCAGATCATCTCACTTCTTTTTCTTGGGAAAATACGTGATCACATGTCCAGACTACAGAACAGTGTATTATTGTATAGTGTGGCACAGCTGTATGCAATTCTGCATACCTGGCTTTATATTATAAAGTTCTTATAAATAAAGCCAGGTATGCAGAATTGGATATAGCTGTGCCACAATACATAGTGTTCATGTTCTTCATAATATTAAGAAACTGACCTAAAATCATGATTTTGTATTGCTTTAGAAAAAATTTGACCTGTCCCTTTAAGAAAAAGTATCGGTAATTGGTATCGGCGAGTACTTGAAAAAAAGTATGGGTACTCGTACTTGGCCTTAAAAAAGTGGTATCGGTGCATCCCTAATGGAAACCTTTGGTTCAAATTAATATCCAAGCAAATGGCATTTTAACAAGAGGTCAGCAGTGGCCATCTACATATTCTGAGTTGAGAAAGCTGGCTGGATGACCAGTGATACGTCTTCAAGAAAAAATGAACGAGAACCTTCACAGACATACCATCTACATATTCCTCTCAGCACAGGTTTTCTTGGACCTAAATTCAACTATATACTTTATGTTCTCCCCTTGCTGCTTCCTAGGAAGATAGAAGTAAAAGAGCACTTTTACCCATTAAGTGCCTTTCACACGGGCTGATCAGGAGAGGATTTTTATTATATATATTTTTTATATAACCCAACGGTCAAAATCTCCTATGGCTGTATCATTCAATGAATGGAAGAGTGAGAATGTTTTTAAAGCTGCATTATTATTGTATCAGAGTCTCAAACAAAAACTTAAAAGAGAACTATGAGGTGAGTGCTTTTCACTCATCCTCATAGTTCTAGCCGACCTGTGACAATGAAACTGTCACAGGTCGGCTCAGTAGATCAGCGTTCGCTCACTTCTCGATCCTTTCACAGCTCTCTGCCGTGACAGGGGAGGGACTGGATTCTCCCCTCCCCGATCCTCCAGCGCTGACTGGCGGAACGGACGCGGGAGGGTACAGTTGGCTCTGCCTCTAGATAGGCAGAGCCAGCTGTCACTCACGCAGCTGGGCAGATCCAGACATAATTGTCGGGATCCGCTTCAGCTGTGGCGTCTCAGTATACCGCGAGCTGTAGCTTGCGGTATACTGAGCTTAGGGTGACGGGAGGACGCTAGTTTGTGTCCTCCCGTTACCCTAAGGAGAACTATGGGGAAAAACCCTAACCCCATAGTTCTCCTTTAACTTTGCAAATTATGTTTTTATCCTATACCTGGTGCTTGGTAGTACAAAAATCTATGCATGTGAACTCGTGACACACAAACCTTCTCCTCATTTATTGCAGTGACGGCTCAGAAAACTTTATAATGGACAGAGGTAATGATTGTGGAAAATATCAATAAACAGAACAAATTTTTCTCACCATATAGATCTGCTCCATGACTAGTAAAACTATTCAAAAATATACACTCCTACAGCAGTACACAGGAAAAATCTCCAATCATACATTTTGTTATTGTTGTGAGAGCTCTAACTTAATCTGCTTGTATTAGTAACTGAGAAAACGCACAGGCCTTTTTTTTTTCTATTTGTTGCATGATTATTCATGCAACAAGGAGAAAAAATTATATTTAAAAAGACTAAATATTGCTGGAAGAAGCTTTTACCAACAAAAAAAATAAACACAGGTAACCCAAGAGAGGAAAAAACTATTATATCTTGGAAGCGTATTGTAATTTTTAAACTTTTTCACCTGGAGTAAGTGTTCCCGCCTGCTTGAATGAGAGTTGGCATTGCCGCTATGAACAAGCTGAGCTGGACATCCTGCATTACAAGCATGCCAAGTAGGACACTACTATAGTCAATCTCACCTGCACAGAGACAAAACATTTTTTTTATAGTTTAAAGCAATAAAAGATAATACAATTCCTCTAAAAGAAACTGCACAAAGCCAAAAAAAAAAAACACAAAACAAACAAAGGAGCAGCCTGGAAACAGTCTCTTCAATCCCCTCGTCCTTCAGCCAGTTCCCAAAGATATTTCTGTGAAAGATTAGACTTTCTAAAAAAGTAAATAAAAAGGGGCCCAATCAATAAAAAGATTAAAATGTCTGTTTTGATTGCATTTTTACTAAATTTTCAGTTTTTTAAAATCATAGACAATTTCCACTGGTTTCAAAAAGAAACCATTTTTCTGATACTTTACCCTAACTGAAAAGGTCACAAAAACGCAATTTTTAACGTAATGACTGTCGGCAACAATTCTCCATTCTGATCTTCAAATAACCCATTATTTCCACTTTGCGAAATGTCAGAGGAAGTCAGTGAAATGTTTTCAAAGCATTTTGTTGGGCTTCTTACATTCTAAAAGCTGTTTTTTCATGGTTTTTGTCTATTACATATTTATACACAATGCAAAATGGTGCCCTTAACCCCTTCGCTGCCAAGCCCTCCGGAACATTTTTCAAATCAGCTGGCCAAGCCATTTTTGAATTTTCTGCAATTTTTTCCTATTGATTTGATTTTCAACTGCTGCGTTGCTAGCGTTTGTAAAAGACCCCCCAAACCATATATTTTCTGAAAGCGCAGGCCCGGTAGAATAAAAAGCTGGTGATACTAAATTTATCTAGATTAGAAAGATATCTAGTAACCAGGGGACGCTGGACTGTCATTACACACTGAGAACCCGGCTGATTAGATACATTTATATAGTCTTAGGCCTGGTTCACACCTGGGCGTTATGTAGCGCGTTCGAACGCTCTGCAAAACGCTCATACACCGAAATCCTATTATTTCCTATGGGTATGGTTCACACCTGGGCATATTACAGGCCTTATGAACGCGCTACAAAACGCCCTACGCCCAAAGAAGTACAGGAGCTTCTTTGGGGCGTTTTTGTCGCGCGTTTCCATTGGGATACAGCCAAGTAGCCCTCGGAAACCCGCGAATCGCGGTAGAAAAGCGCATATTTGATACGCCTAGGTGTGAACCCAGCCTTACAGATACCTTTGAGGGCAACCATAATGTTGATGTGGCCCACGATTAAATTGAGTTTGATACCCCTGCCTTAAAGTGTATCTAATCCGAAAAACAAACATTTAATATATTGAAGTTTATCGATCCTCAAAAGTGGTGATTACATTAGTTTTCTTTTTTAGCCCCCCCCCCCCCTTTATTTTTACCTGGTGATCTTGCCAGTAAGACTGTTATTTTTCAGCTTCCTTTACAGACTGCTGTTCAGCAAAAGAGGCAGATAGGGGGTTGAGACAAACCATTGAACACTGACAGGGCTGCTTACAATGGTTAGCTTTTATTCATTTATATGAAACTTTTATCCCAAAAGAAAAAAAACTAAACGGTTGCTGTAACTGCTTAAAAAGTGTTAGCTGGAGTTCGGTTTTTATTTGTTAGTCAAGTCCATCTAAACCAGCTAGTACATCTAACTCCAACATCAACTCCAACACTAACTCCAACACTAACTCCAACACTAACTCCAACACTAACTCCAACACTAACTCCAACACTAACTCCAACACTAACTCCAACACTAACTCCAACACTAACTCCAACACTAACTCCAACACTAACTCCAACACTAACTCCAACACTAACTCCAACACTAACTCCAACACTAACTCCAACACTAACTCCAACACTAACTCCAACACTAACTCCAACACTAACTCCAACACTAACTCCAACACTAACTCCAACTACACAATGCTGCTGTCAAAGGATGGCTGCGCTGAGCCTCCAGAAAGGGAAACCACTCTAAAAGGTGCCCATACACCTGCTGATTATCGTTCAAAAAACGAACACAATCAGGCTTTCGTATGATAAATCGGCCAGCTGATGGGAAGTAAACAATCACAATTACTGTACTCCTGGCCGAATTTTGTTGATCGGTCAGGCTGGAAAACTTTTTTCGAACTGAACGGGAAAAAAAAAAAA